TATGGCGACTGTCAGCCGCCCCAGGGAAGGGCTCACCAAAGGAAAAAAGGCCTCTGACAGCACGTCTGTCCCGGAGAAAGCCCCCTCTCCAGCCCTCACTCCAGTGCCAAACAGCTCAGTTCTTCCCTGTATGTCTCTGGTGTCCCTCGAGCTGCCTCCCCTCCGAGCTTAGAGGGAGAGAGTCCGATAAGTCCGTGCGCGGGCCCTTTAGGGAGCTGTCTGGGGCTCCAGCTGCTTTAGCCTCCCTGAGCCTCAGTTCCCGCTGGTTTCTCCAGCCAGAAGTTATGGGGATTCTCTTCCTGGCACTGGAACCAGAGCGGGGCACCTGGTGTGGGACAGGGACCCCTCAGTCCTCAGGAAGGACCTTCCCAGCCGAGGTGTCCTCCTGATTTTTATCCGCCACACGTGGGTGTGGGACCAGCCCGTCCGCCTCCACCCCTCCTACCAGTCTGGATGTAGCTGCTTTAATTCCGTTGTTGTAGGACTTCCATTCAGTTTGATTTCAGGTGGTTTTGAATGATGGTTGTTCTGTAGTTTAGTTGTAAGTTTGATGTGGTTGTGGGAGGACACGATACCGCGTTTACCTACGCCGTCATCTTGACTGGAAGTCTCCAAAGCTCTTAATTTTTAAATCAACTTTTCCATGGATTCACAAGTGGGATTATAAATTAAAGGCCTATAAAAAGCTGAATCACTTAATTATCTGGAAATTTCTTCCTTTAAAATCTGTGTAAATCTATATAACTACTTTCACCCTCCTATTTCAGAATGTCCAAGTCATAAAGACTAGTGTTTACTCTGTTTGTCGGAGCTGACATGTGTGGAGCTTTAGCTCTTTTTATAGAGATGGACAATGTGACACTCCTACTTGGTCATTTTACAGTAAAAAAAAGAAAAGGATTTCATCATCATTTCAATTTTTTTTTTTATTTGGAGAAGTCCTCTATTCAAATTCCAAGTGCTGGTTTGTCTCCTCCTAACCTTACAGGCAGGTCAGGCGTCATCCATGGCTGCACTGACAGGGCCTCACCAACAACTGGCAGAGTGTGGGTGCTCTGTGACTTGTATGAATTACACCAGAGAGCACTTCTGAGCTAGGAGTCCCAGTGGCCTTCTTCCCATTGCTGTGTGTTCTTCTGAGCCTCCCAGAGCAGAAGGCTTGACTTCCGGCTGTAGTTGTGCACCTTTCATCGGAAAGCATGGGCTGCAGTTGAACGGTCACAGGAGACTTGTCTTTGGGAGGTCCATTGTCCGTGCCACCCACGACACTGCCAACAGTGTATTTGACCACATGTTGAGATTTGAGGTCAGGGCTGAGGTACTTGTTGTGAAGCTGTAGTACCGTTGAATCAACACCCAGTAGACTACATGTGCTGAAGGAGATGAGAAGGAAATGCAAGTCCTGAAACCTGCTCAGGAAGATGAAATTTGCTTAGATGTCAGGACTAGAGCAAACAAAGAATTATACATTTCTTGGTAAAGAACACAGAGAATTGGAATTCACATAGCCCAAGAGAGTCTTTGTCATTATTTAGGCACTGAAGTTTTAGATACATCTCCACTTTCTTCATATCCTCAGGGCATGCGTACCTCTACAGTAAATTGCACTATATTTTATCCCCATTGAAAAGTATAGTCCATTGTCCAGTGAAGAACTTCTAAATCATGTTCTCTGACCATTCCTTTAATGAGTAAGTAAAGTCCTATGTAGCTTGGGTGTTTCAACAACTGTCAACCAGACTTGTAAGCAGAAACTACTAGTGTGATGCTGGATTATTGCCTTTACCCAACCACAAAAAGGTAAATCGAGAATTAAACATTATAAGTTATACCGACAATGTTTGATTCAACTTCTGGCCTTGCCATGAGTCTGTGAGGCATCTACTTAGGTTATGGATGACCTTCCTGATGGGTGGGAGTAAGCAAACTTCTACCCTCTTTGGAATTGCTCCCCTGCAGACTTTTCTAATCTCTAGTACCTTTGTCATGGAACAATTTCAGTATCATGAAGGCTCAGATTAGTCAAAATCATTTAGAAAAGGTTTCATTCAAATTCTAGCCCCATCACAAAATAGATATCAAAACTAAATAAAATCACAAATAATAGTCATAGAAAAGCCCTTAAATACCTCCTATTGTAGGATTATTTCTTTATGATACAAGTTGAAATGTAAGGCAATAAATAAAATTCTTCAAGCCATGGCCAGTGTGGCTCAGTTGGTTGGAGTGTCATCCCTTGCACCAAAAGGTGGTAGTTTGATTCCTGGTCAGGGCACATACCTAGGTTGTAGGTTAGATCCCTGGTCAGGCGTGTGTGGGAGGAAACTTATCAATGTTTCTCTCTCACATCAATCTTTTGCTCTCTCTTCCCTTCTCTAAAAATCAATTTAAAATAGTATTTAAAAAATAAAATAAAGTAATAATTCAAAGCAATAAGGAACTTCTCAAATTTCTCCCAGAACTGTTCCATTTATGTATCCTGGGGATGCAAAATTATGCCTCCAAACTCGGTAGTATCTGTATTCCTGGTAACTGATCTACATATTTCATTCCATTTAATGCAGTTATATAGAAATAGCTACCGTTCTTATATCTATGTGGCACAGTTCTAAGTGCTTTTCACATATTTACTACTCAATCTCCATTTAGTTTGTTATTACTATTTAGAAACTGCGGCACACAAAGGAGAGAAACTTTCTCAAGTTTGCACAGGTAGGAAGTAACAGAACTAAAATCCAATCCCATGTAATCAGACCTCAGCTTAAACATGCTTAATCACTCTCTAAAATTCTTAATTTGCTAGACATGTTTATCAAATCCTATGATTTTTAAATAAAGTTTCCTGAGTGGAAGAACGAAGCAAAGAGAGCTGTTGGAATATGTTAAAATCAAACATTATACGGCTGTGTTCATTTTTTAAAAATCTTTCACTGCACTAATGAGTACAAAGAAATGTGTCCCCATCCAGATACAACACCAAATTGAGTGTTACAGAAATGGATATGAAAACAGAATCTTTGATGATTATTGACAAGTGACATGGGAGAACCTAGTCTAAACAAATCGATTTAAGCTAAACACAAAGCTCAAATTAACGGTACCACCTAGAAATGCTCTGTGAAAGGCTAAGTCTTTGGATTTTTATACTATTTGGAAGAGGAATGGGTTCTGCTAATAGGACAGACTTTGTGCAACATATGTTAAGAAAAAAAATTGGAAGCACTTAAAAAATACAAGTTGGAAGCTCCATCTTGCAAAAAAAGGAAAAAAATCCTTAAAATATTTTGGAGCTTTTAGGAGAAAGTCAATAATAAAATTAGTAAGAACACGGAGAAAGGGCTTTATGAGTCAAGTGACTGTTGTTTTTCTAAATGTCAGCATGGAAACCCAAACAGCAAGAGGTGAGTTGGGTCCCTGGAAAGACTGACTGGGAAAGCTGAGTGTTAACTTTGTGACGTGGTTGATGGCAACCAAAAATTGTCAAGTGCATGATGACAAAGTATTTCCTGGAACTAGGGGCTGCTTCAAGACATATAAACAAGGGTGACATTGCGGGGGCCTGTGCTTTACACCAAGACGGGATCTATATGTGGCAGTATCACCAGTGGTTTAAACGATGTTCCCAGACAGAGATCTTTGGAACCTGGAAACCATTCATTGATAGTTTGAGCTGAGCTTTATACTGAATTAACAACCTTTGTTTACAGCAGAAGAAAATAACTGAATTTAAAACACAGCTTGCTCTCTCCTTTTATTTTGACATCATGGAAAAAAACTAATTTTAAAGCAACTCACACTCTGCTTTCATTTTAATGTCGTGGTCTTGAAAATATAGTACTTGGCTATTGACAGACACTAAGACTTACTAAGACATTGCAGCTTTTAGGGTTTCACCCTGAAAATCATTTTTAATTGAGGTCTTAACTTTAATTCAAGATTACTTCCTCTAACATTGTGATTACCTATTCTAAAGAAAGCAGGAAAGAGTATTCTAGTTTAAAGTTACCAAATCTCTCTAAGTCTTAGTTTTCTCAGCTATGAAAAGAAAGCATTGGTCTAAACTTTTTATATGTGTTTGTGGGGCCCTGGCCAGGTAGTTCAGTTTGTTTGGAGTGTCATTCTGATACTTTAAGGTTACCGGTTTGTGGGTTCAATCCCTAGTCAGGACATATAGAAGAATCAACCCATGAAAACACAAATAAGTGGAACAAACAAATCGATGTTTCTCTCTTTCCCCCCACACCTACATACGTAAATATATATATATATATTTATATAATATATATAATACTCATCAGTGAATAGGATGTTCAGGATATTTGTCACACTATAAATAAGAAACCCTCTGCAAATACCAGAAAATTTACCTAGTCTCCCCAATATACTCCTCTAGAACATTTCCCTCCCGACAGAGAAGAAAAGCACTTTGCAAAATATCTGCAACATCAGTCTAAATAGAGTGTGACTCCTAAAGCCTTGAATGTCTCGAGCTCACACCTTACCATTTGCGTTACCATTTACGTTACCATTTATGGAAACAATGAAGTGTTTAAAGTCTTCCCCTCTAATTAAACAGAGATGTAACTGAGTCAACAATGGAGTTCTGGAAGCAGACAACCTGAAAATGTCAATAAGCTATTAAAGACATGGTCTCTCTAAATATCTCTCTAAAGATATTAGGAAGTTGCACTGATCCTGAATTCTTAAGAAGATCAGAAAGCAGGACTTAAGGGTAGCTGAGGAACCTTAACTTAATTATGATGCTTTCCCCTTACAAATTCTTTCTGATCCACAGGCTGGGAAAACGAGGCCAAAGCTTGCACATTTTCAAGGAGAGAGAAAATCCATTCCTTTGGCCATACAATTTTATTCTCTCTATAGTATCCCCTAATCCTTTTGCAAAATGGAGGATATTTGTTTAGCAGAAAGACCCCTGTGCTCAGAAGCAGAGTAGTCTAGTGTGTATGATGATTTTGTCTTTCATCTATTTTTTTTTTTTTTAGGAGAGAGTGAGAACGTAGTCCCCCACTACCATAAACTGTGCAGTCGAGTTTCCCACATTTGGGGAAATTATAGGGGTCAGCACATCTGGAGTGCAGTGGATAAGCCTTGCTCTGGGAAAACCACCTTCGTGATCAGGGTATCTCCCCTGCCGGGTAAGTCTCTTTCATCTATTTTTATACTTGCATTTGGGATGGGAATCTATATACATTAACCACAGAGCAGCCCAATCTCAATAAAACTTTTACCTAATCCAACAGATCTCAAATTTCATGATAATGGCTGCATAATTTAGTAATACACCAACAAGCAATGAACTTTATACTTAAAATGGATGAATTATATAGTATGTAAATTATATCTCAACAAAGTTGTAAGAATTTTTAGTGTGAGGAGTTAAATAGGATACTGTTTCTTGAGTCTCAGCTCAAAGGGCAGCTAAGTCCAGGCAACTGTTTGTTTGTTTTTATTAAATATGTTTTTATTGATGTATGAAACATCAATATAAGAGAGAAACAATGATCAGCTGCCTACTGCATGCCATGTAATCTCTCAGTCCATGGGATGATGCTCAATGCACTGAGCTACACTGGCCGGAGGAGGGAACTTTATTTTAAACAAACATCTTAAGTGACTCTGATGAAATGATCCAAGATTCATTCTTTTAAGGAAATCTAACAGAGATTTGTTGTTTCATTAAACAAGAAAAAAAATCCCCCCAAAGTTCAAAATAATCAGTAAAGAACTAGCCATCCTCCAGAAATCATAAGTTTGATCCAATCCTTAATTCCCCTTTAGGAATGTGAATATTATCAATGTGATAAATTTTTACTGAAACTAGGTCAAGCATCCCTTCGGATAACTTGTGTGAGCATTGAATGAGAAATTTATCTTACTGTATATTTTCTCACTGAGTCCTCACAAAGACCCTGTTGAGTTATAGGAGCTGTTACAGTCACCTGTCTTCTACAGAGGGGAAGGTGGAGATTCAGCAAGGTTAAATGTCGTGCCTAAAACACCTAACTGATAAGTCACCAATCTGCTTGGATACTAGGTTTTCTGACTCCTAGTTCAGCACTCTTTTCACCATAAATACCTGTCTTTAAAAATGCTTCTTCAGCATGTACCAGCATGGCTTGCCCCTAACCTTTAGAAGCTATTGTTTGAGCCCATTTATGACGTTTCTATTGTTAATGATGCTAAGAAACTGTACATCTTTTTTCTACCTGCATCACAAAAAGAAAATGCACAATTTAACACAATTCCTCCAATTCTCTGTCATAGTTTTTGTCTAAAAAACTGGATTAATGGACTGTGTGTGTGTGTGTGTGTGTGGTGTGTGTGTGTTGAGAGAGTGTATCTCCATGTGTTTGTGCAAAGGATAGAACATTATTCTAACGTGAAATTGCAAAATAGAATCATTTACTCATTTGTATGTGAACTGTTCAAAGAAATGAACATTTATTGGATATATACTATGCTATAAATCTACCTCCCTCCAGTCATCAACCCTCTGTTCCTTAAAGACAGGCATCTATCTGGTGTTCCACCCTAACCCTACTATGAGATGATTAAATGTTCTGTGAACATCTCAAGTCTATCAATTCCTTGATCATCTCATCTTTATTAACCTTCACCTCCATCTACTTTAGACATGCATTTCCAGGGCTATGTCATCACTCTGACCTTTCTTGTCTCTGAAATATGTATTCCAAAGATCCCCCTGATCACAGAGGTCTCAAATGACCTCAAAAATGTCTTCAGGCATCTGATCAACCATTTCCTCTCTACTTCCTTTCAGAAAAATCTTAGATTTTGTGTTCATCTCTTTCGTCACACCTTTGCCAATCCCCACATTTTTCGGCCTCATTGTCCTTTCACCACAGGCACCCCTTTCTCTGGCCCTACTGCTGGACCGGTGGCTCTCTGCATGCCTCTCTCCAGCCTCAGTGCTGCCTGGAAATTCTTCCAACCCCTTTTTAGTTTTTCCATTTTTGTCAAAACTTTAAACATAATAACTTGGCCATGAGACCAAGTAGATGAACTCTTTTCTTTGCAGAGAAAATAGAAAGTGTTTTTTCATGGGAAAATCTTCAATTTACTGTCACCAAGTGTATAAAATTAAGTGTATACCGCAACGCATCCTTTTCTGCTTTGCTCTTGGTGCAGTGAGATAGGTGTATCTCCCTTGGAACTCTTCACGCATCTTGATTGTCATCCTCTCTTCTGATTCCTTTATATTTTCCTTTGGACCTACTGAATTTTTCATCTTAAAAAAACAAAAAACAAAAACACGCCTTTCTTACCCTGAGGAGCTCTTCAGTCTACCATTCATTCACTTAGTTGCTCAAGTCAGAAGCATCTTGTATTCCTTCCTTCTTCTATCCCCTATATCCAATTGATGTGCAAGTTCTGCCAAACCCATTTCCTCAGTATCTCTTTATTCAGTTTTCTCTATTCCCAGTGCCAAGGCTCTAAATTGATATTGTCCAACAGAAAAATAACGTGAGCCATATGTGTAAATTTTAAAATGTTCTGCCAGCCTCAAAAAAGTGAAAAGCAATGAAATTAATTTTAATAATTCATTTTATTCAATCCAATATATTCAGAAATATTATTTCAATGTGTAGTCATGATAAACGTTATCAATGGGATTTTTATCTTCTCAATTTGGATCAACCACATCTAAACAGACATGTTGCTAGTGGCTACCATATTGGACAGTGCAGCCGTAGACCATCATCTCTTGCCCGATTCCATCAATCCTTTGCCGAGTGCCAGGAGGAAGTGTTCTGGGGTTTTCTTGTTTCCTGTTAAGGCCCCCTCCCATATGTTCTATATATTACAAGCAGAATGATTTTCTAAAAATAAAATTTCATGCTGTTTTCTTCTGTAGGACTCTGCATGATTTCTCACAGATCTATATGCTTTTATGATATTTACAAGGCTCTGCATAAACTGGACCTTGCCAATTTCCAACTTCAGCTCTTGCTTTTCAGATTTCATAAATCAGCACATACTCCCCCCCTCCCCTCACACACACACATTAAATCAATTTTTGGCTCTTAAAGCCACTTTGATCTTCTTGGATTCTAGATCACTACATATTCTGTTCCTTCTTTGTAGAATATTTTTCTTCATCCTCCTTGTCCCCATTCATCCTCAACAGGCTAACTGCTACTCATACTTTAAGTCTCCCCAGAAACCTTCCCTGATCCCCTAGGTCTGGATTATGTGTTCCTCCTGTGTACTCATATGGAACTCTTTAGTTTCCTCTGCCATATTCTTTATTGCACTATTTATACTTTCTTTGACCTTGATCTAAGTACAGCCAGAGCAGAGACAGCACTACCTCTGTCACTTTTTTATCTCCAGTTTCGAGCGTAATGCCTAACATATGATAGGTGATTGATAGATGTTCACAACGTAAGTGAATGAGTAAATGAATAAATGTGATCTTTTTTAGTACTAGAAAAGAAGAACACCTTTACTATTTGCAAATTCTCCTGTGATTTCAATGTCTTTTTTTGTCTATTGTCCTTTCTTGATTCCTTGGATCTCACTAATTTTCAGGTGAATTTGTTTCAAAAGAAATCATTTCTTTAAGGTGAGTATTAAAAGGTAAAGAGCATGAAATAGCTCTTGCATCAGTAAAAAGATAGAAAAAGTTCCCATAGAGAATAACTGAAAATTGCATAGCATGTATTAGAAGAATTAACATTTGATTTTGTAGTGAAATAACTATTATTAAAGTTAACAATGACCTCTATGTAACTAAAACTAATGGACATTTTAAATCTTGAATATCTGACCTGATTTTTCAGGTGCCAATATTTTAAAACTCACCTCCCCTTTGAAACATTCTTTTCCCATTGGGATCCCTGAACCCTTATTCTTCTGGTTTTCCTCCTGTCTCCCTGGCTGTTCCTTTTCATTCTCCTTCCTCAGCCTTTAAATGTTAGAGTTCCTCAAAGCTAGACCTTTAGTTCTTTCTTGTCTCATTCACCATTCTCTCCCTAAGTAGTTCCATCTAGTCCATGACTTTATTTTTTCTATACCAGTGTTTCTCAAATATATATTTCAATGCCAAACTTCCCTTCTTGTCTCAAAATCTGTCATCCTCTGGAGATCTCCCTTTGTAGAATTAATGCACCCCAAAATGAACAAAATAAAGATAGAATTAATGACCACCTGTAAAACTCACTCTCCCTTCAATGTTTTCTGTTTCATTGAATGACACCACCATGCATTTATACTAGACAGAATACTCAAATTATCTTACATACCTCCTTCTCTTCTAATCTTTATTTCCAATGACTATTTAGTGAATATTTAGTCAATCAATATTTAGTAAATTAATATTAGAAATGTTTCCATTAATAAAGATGTGTAGAGTTGTTAAAGCATATATATTATATATTTCCATTATATATCTACAAATATATCTATATGGATTTTTTTTCTGGCCTTCCATAGACATTTATATAAATGTTTTGTACATCTCCCTTTTTGAAACTCTTTTTTTTTATCCTCACCCGAGGACATTTTTTTGCATTTTTATCTTCAGATAGAGTGGGAGGGAGAGAGGAAGGGCGAGAGAGAGAAACATTGATGTGAGAGAGACACACGAGTGGCTGCCACCCACACGACCCCAACAGGGGCCAGGGACAAACTGCAACTGAGATACGTGCCCTTAGCGAGAACAGAACCCCAGATTCTCTGGTCCGCGGGCCGACACTCTAACTGCTGAGCCAAACTGGCCAGGGCCCTTTTTGAAACTCTTTAGTTTCCTAGGAAAGTGAGAATAAGGGTAATGTCATAGTTGGCATTATTTTTGTTAATCAAGAGGGACAAAAATTATGAGCATGTGGGATACCCATTAACATTTATATCTATTGCCCACTTTTTAAGGAGTTTGTAACATAATAACAAAAGCTCAGAAATGAAAGGGAGCTGTATGAAGTACAGTCTTTGGGAGCTAAACCTCTGAATCCAAGGGAAAAGTTATGGTTGCCTTTTTCCTCTTAATTTGCCTCTAATCAGTTAAAGATAGTTAAAATACAGAACGATTGAGAAAGAGTATCTCCCTAGGGTGCAGTTGCCTTTCCCCCTTTTCTCTTTTAATGATCAATAAGCAAGAAAGTTCTGTATCCTTTCTTTACC